TGTTGAAAATAAGTGTCTCGGTAAAGTTATATTCAGAAAGAATAAACCAGTTTTATTAAGTAAGGACTTGTGTCGCTAAAGTTTCGTCGGAACGAAGTTACGGAAAATTAATTAACAAACGGAGATGTAACAATAGGATAGTGAAGCCATAGGTTTATATTTAAAGCATGTATTATAATTATTATGGTGAAATACAAGTATGACGTGGATTTCCTAGAGGCTAAACTGAGAGTTAACTTTATTGTATTACATTTTAACTTGGGACACTCTCTTTTAATGATTCTCTTTTATATGCTAGCCTAAGTTAGTTGGGAAAGGACACACTTAAGTACATGTAAGAGCATATTGTTACGACAGCGGAAAGCACGTGACGCTGCTGGCGCATTGACGCTGGTGGTGTGTACCAGGAGTTTCTCTAATGATCGTGAATTTCCTAGTTTGTTCGGAACGCCCTCTTTTTTAGTGTATAAGCCCGGCAAATAAAAGAAGAGATAGATTGAAGATAGAGATAACTGAGTCAAGCAAACAGTAGGCACCGCAAGTAAAGTGTGTGAATCACTGTGATTCATAGCGTGGGTTATAAAATTGTAAGTGTATTAAAAAGTTGTATGGAGAAAGAATAAACTAGGTTTAATTAAGAAAGGACTTGTAGCTGTAGTTCCTCGCAAATAATTTATACCGGAAATTAACATACGAGCAGATATGTAACAACTGAGGTCAGAAAGTGGGACAAAAAAAAAGAAAGAAGAAGAAGCTGGAAACTAGTAGTGACAAATCAAACTACAGCTTAGCAGATTTGATGGCAGCAAAACAAGAACACAAAAGACAAAGAAGAACGAGAAGATAAACAAGAAAGGACACTATAGCAGTGATTGGAAGAGAAAGAACATAAACAAGAAGAGAAACAACAGCAGTGGCAAGAAAACCTGCAACAGTAGCAGCTCGAACAGCAAAACAAACAAGAAGAGAGATTACAGCAGTTGTTGGAAGATAAAGAAAAGAAACAAGAACGGAGATTACAGCAAGTGTTGGGGAAAAAAGAAAGGAAACAAGAAAAACGAGAAAAGAAACAAGAAGAGAGACCACAGCAGTGGCAACTGGAACAAGAAAGGAAACAAGAAGTACAAATGGAAACGATTAGTAAATTTCAAAGTGAATTGAATACATTAAAGGATGATTTACTGTCTTTTACACAGGGAGAGTATATTAACCATGAACCTAATCAGCCCCAGACAACAGGAAGCCCCCTTCCAGACCCTGCAGCTAAATCTTCATGCAGACATCTTCAGTCCTGTCAGAAGTCACATTCCAGACATGAGTGTCAGCAATAGGGGTGATCTAGTATGAAGGAAGCCACAGGGAATTTGGTGGGAAAGGCACCATGGGAAAGCATATAGAGCACAATTTGAGCTCCTGGCAGAAATGAATGGAATGG